TTTTTTTTTTTTTTTTTTTTTTTTTTTTTAGTCTAGTGCTGTATTTTTAAGACGCGCGATCGAACAAGTATGCTTTGGTTACACAATTGTTTGACCAACGTTGTCGCGTGGTATTTAAAAATGTAAAGTAGATAGGTAGATATTTTTTCTTCGGTTCGTACATCGGAATCGTGAGAGTTTCAAATATTTTATATACACACACGCTGGAAGAAGGAAGAAACAAGAAAAGAGAAAAGAGATATTATTTTACTTGTAGCAGATACGATAGATTACGATAGATTATAGCAAAGTATATGCTAACAAACGCGCACGGCTATTATTTCGATTGAAAAAAATAACCAGATACAATTCTACGTCACTGGTTAGGAACTCAACATTATTACCACTTCCTTCATTTATATTTTTTATGGTAGCGTGAATAATCTTCCATCGAATATCTTTTTCTAACTACCCGAGCGAAAAAACACGTATGCATTTCAACCCCCCCCGACACACCTTCGAATAATTGCAAACCACATTTCATATCTTTCTCAAGTCGTATAGGCTTATTTATCGTCGATTGTTGTCGCGCGGGGATCACAGGCTCTGGCAACTTTTTCTTCGTTACACGCATTAAAATTCGTAGAGACCCGAGCGAAGGAGTGGCCCTCGTCCATAGACATGTCCGTTTTAAAATACATACATGTTTATATCCGGTTACGCGTAATGATATTTTTTTTAATTCGAAATATGAAAGAGAAAAAGTATTTATGCAAAATTCAAATACTTGTATATAAATTGTTTAATACTTTTTCTTTTTAAATAAAATTCTCCTACTATCTCTAGTTAAATAGGAAATCATTTTTTTTACTGAGATTAGACTCATTTTTGCGAAGCGAGTAGCGCATCGATACCACAATCTCTCTATATATGTAAATTACGATTAAAGAGAAAAAAGAAAAAAAATCAGAACCACGTTAAACCACGTTCTTATCAACCGACTTACACATGAAAAATGTGTTTCTATTTTTAATAGTCATAAAATATATGTATATATATATATACACACACACACACACACACACATACGCGCGTTTAAATACACGTACACTCGTCCATCGAGTGTAAAAGCTATCGCCTTTCCAACTATTTTTGCGCCCACCCCCTCCTTCTTTAATCTGAACCCGAACCGAGAAGATCTATAATGCATGCCGTACGCGCGAGGGTATTTCCAATCCCGTATAAACCCCCTCTCCCCCTCTTTGCCAGATAGCGAAACACCAAGGGTGAAACGGTTGTCCGTCGTGTGGTAGAAAGGGGGTGGGAAGGGAGAGAAAGAGAAGCTCGTAGAAATATCGGGCATCGAAGTGGCGCGATGTTTTCGAGGGTGGCGTGACCGCGACGTGTGAGTCACGCGCGAGAACGATCTCAACCCCCGCGATTCCCCATTTGCTTCGTTTCATTTTCGAAATACGATGCAAATTAAACGTACATTTTCTCGGTGTTTTGAAATCGTGATACAAATAATTTCTCGTACATTTATATTCACGATCTAACAAACTTGGAGACGAATGAAAATCGGCAGATCGTCACTCGTTAAGTTAATAATAATTTGGATATTTAACTTCTCTAGGAAAGTTGAAATTCTTATGGATATCTACGTAAATGAAATTTGTATTCACCAATATTTTGCATAATCCAAAGTCGAATTCTTTTATTTCTCTCCCCCTCCCCCGATCTTCCCTAACGCGCGATAGTAGGGTTTTCCACCCTCCTCGTAAGCTCGACGTAGATAAGACCGCGTTTTCACGCTCGCTTCATCGTCGCTATGCGAATGACACACGCCTACAAACTGTACGATCACCCCCTCGGCGATTGCTTTCTCTATAGTAGGAGAAGTGTAGGAGGAATCGAGCGGTGCATTATTTATTACAGGGAATGGAGGAGTTGAATGTAATCTCGCTGGTAGATCGTGACCGATAGCTCATATTTGTGACCAGGGGATGATAATTGGCGATGGGCGTGTAGAAGATTTGGGGAAAGGAGAAGTAAGCTCGGTGAGCTTCGAAGTGGGCAGGAAATTGGGAGGATTTCAGGGTTTCAGGGGAATTTTGGAGGTTTTTTTTAATGGGGAATTTAATAGAGATTTCTCGTTGAGGAATGGTTTCGATGATTTAAGGATTTAAGTAATTTCGTTGAATGTGCTGAATCCTGTTTGATTTCACGAGTATTAGGATAATAAAATGTATGCAGTGGATAATATTTGGGTGGTTGTATTTAAATAAATTGGAAATGAAGAAGAGAGTAAACGTGTATTTCCGTAGAATCGTAGAAATGAAAAATTTGATCGTGAATTTTTGATTGAAAGGATTTTAGTCTCGTTGGGCACGAGATAAACATTGCATCTCCTTTTAATCAGGAACAGAGATCCCTCCATATTTCTATGATATTTATGTTTTGATGCGTAAACCAAACCTCAAAGCTCGGTCACTTAATAAATAATGGTCTCATATAGGGTTTCCTCGGCGTCCCCCTTAAATCACGATTAAATATAAATGCAGGTCATGCAGATCCCTGCC